GGTCCAGGCCTGAAATGTCAGCCTTCCTGCTCCTCTGATGCTGCTTGGCCTGCTGTGTTCATCCAGCTCTACACCTTGTTATCTCTAAATTTCTAAACTTTTTTTTTGCTGCAAGCTGTTTTAGTAAAGCAAGATGTAAACATGGCTGCAGTAGCAAAGGTAAAAATCATATCTTGGTTGGCTGACATTTCTACCAAACTTGAGGCACTCATAGAACTAAACAATTCACATGGACGTAAAGATATTTTTAACTTGAGAAAGGCAAATATTTTAAAAACACACACAAAGCATATCAGCATACAGATACCCCTCAATGTCTTAATCGGAAGCCATAGCATTAGGTTCCACCATGTTTGCTGACGATGCCCAATTCTACACACCACTAACTCTCAATCCCTATACTGCCTCTATGTTATTAGACAGCTGAACTACCCCGACGATAACCCTGCCTCCTACTGCAGCAACTATGTATCTTGTCTACGTTGCTATTTCCTCTCCTCCTACCTCTGGTGTCTGAGTGTACACAGCACAGAATAGTGCAGTAATAGAGAAACTGAGGTCAGTGACTCCAAATTTCTCCAAGATTGTGTTGTTGAGGCACCCTTCAGCTGCAATCATAGGAAATCAATTGACTTGCTACTCTTATGCTGTTAAGTTTAATGTAAAGACTACATCTTGTTTAACGTGTAACGGTTATTTTTTAAACAACATATCAAGTTCATAATTACTGCTCAACAGCCCAAGCCTGAAAGCTAACTTTACGTTTGTGAAATGTCAAATTTCTTTATAATGATAAAAAAACCCCACAATTTTAAAATATTAATTTTAAAATATTTTTTATCGTTATTTGAGATCCTTCTGTAATCCCTCTATAATGATTTATTTGGTTGACTGAGCATTTTGAATTGAAACTGAAGGATTTTAAATGTTTTTATCTTTCTGGTTTATGTGAGAGTACTACAATCTGATTGACTGTGTAGCCGATTTGCTGACATCTCTGCTGATGAATACCAAGACATTGATATGGAAACTACGGTCAGGAAAGGTGAAAGTATACTACAGTGATCCAAAGTCATTGTGAGAAGCTTTGAGGTCAACACAACTGCCACTGATTCTTTATGTACTTTACCTAAATGGGCAAAATACAGGGTTTTGTTCATGCTTCATGTAACATTTTAGTTCAGGTATTCTGCATTTAAAGTTGACCTATTTAGAAGATCATAGAATCCCTACAGTGTTGAACCAGGCCCTTCTGCCCAACAAGTCCACACCGAACCTCAGAGCATCCCACCCAGGCCCATCTCCCTATAACCCACCTAATCAACACACCCTGAACACTACAGACAATTTAGCATGGCCAATCCACCTAGCCTGCACATCTTTGGACTGTGGGAGGAAACTGGAGCATCCGGAGGAAACCCACACAGACACAGGGAGAACGTGCAAACTCCACACAGAGAGTTGCCCGAGGGTGGAATTGAACCCGGGTCCCTAGTGCTGTGAGGCAGCAGTGCTAACCACTGAGCAACCGTGCCGCCCCAAATTAGCATTTTATTTTTCATTTTAAATGCTGCTGGATTTTTTGATTCAGATTTCACTTTGAAATTTGCATTCACCTGTTTATAGGGACTTTAAAGCACTCCCATGTTTGCAAATCGCAAAGCATCAATTTTGTGTGCACATTAGTCCAGTAAATGGTGCAAGAAAAAAATGGGCTGTAAAGTGCTTCTGGGTTAATGCAAAATGAGGCTGCAATTTCTCATGAGTGTTAGGCTCACTGACTGGTGTTATTTGGTCAGTTCAGACAATATGGTGTACAGGTACTGTAAATCTGAAGGCGAATTTAATTTCAATTTGAAGACTCTTTGAGATGCTTCTCCTGTAGTACAGGCAATGCACTGAAATTTCTGCAGAAAAACGTTATACAGGTACAGTACACAACTTAAAGAAACTGACTTTGCTGATGGTCTGCTATTCTTCACATGAGTGAGGAACCATTTTAAGTCAGTCAGAGAACAAATGAAGCAGTGAGAAATGTTAAAGTCCCTTCTTCCTGATGGTGCTGTGATCCCTTTAAACAAGGACTGGAAATACCCAGAAAGTGGTAGCAGCGAGCCTACGGCTGCAAAGAGTTCAAGAAAAGCCATCTGACTTGCAACAAAACGGTTTTTAAAGATGCCTTGCAACAGGAGAATTGGCAATCAATAGAACCAGAGCTTAGTTTAGCCCTACAACAACGAGAGCAATTCTTGATAATATTGACCTCAGCAGAAGTGACTTCCAGTCTGAACTCCAAACCAGGAGAGTTCAGATAGAAATCTTCAAGTTGTTAGAACTGAGAAAGTTTAGGCCAACAGAACTGTGAAAACTTCATGCCTCCAGATTTTGAAAGGAATTGTAAAAATAAAAAAAGGTCTTAACAGTCACTTCCTTGCTTATTTAAAGAATATCTTGCTGTCCATCTGATATCATGTGCTAGTTTTTCCTCAATGTTGATTTTCTGCCTTTAAATTTTTAAGTCATTACATGATACGCTTCAGCACTTCACTACTGCGCTTTGAAGCTGACTGACACCTTACATTACAATTTTCCTGCAAGTCACGCACCAAGAGACACACAAATATCTTATGCATCTGTAAAGGATGCATCTCATAGCTGTTAGCTTGCTTTCTTAGCATTCATTCCCTCACTTGGTGTTTATTTTAATGCATTGCTGCTTCATTGAGAATTTACAGGTTCTCTGCAACTTGACTTGCTTCTCAGTACAGCCAGAAACTCAGGCAGCTCATCATTGTTGCCAGTACTGAACTGTCAATGGAGTAGTCATGTTGCTGTATGGTAATATGATACATTACTGACCCATCTACAGCACATGCTAACAGCTAAAGCAGCAAACAAACTTCATGAGCTTAACCAAATGGCTATGCCTGAAAGTCTAAGAGGAATAGTCCTTAATCTAGTAAGGGGAGAATAGGCAGTCAGCAGGTACTGCCACACTCAGTCAAGGACATTGTGACAACCTCCTGTGCTGATATGATCAGTCAGTCACTTCGGGGTGATCAGGCAAAGTTATCCTCCCAGGTCAGTTTGAAAGCGGACAGGGGACGTGGGGTTGGGGGGGTGGGGTGGGGTTGCACAGTCAGTCCTGAGAGTTTGGTTGGTAAAATATCAGGAGAATTATCAGGCAGCAGAACATGCTTTCTTTATTCTTTATTCATTCACGGGATGAGGGCATCGCTGACCAAGCAGTATTTATTGCCCATCCCTAATTGCCCAGAGGGCTGTTAAGAGTCAACCACATTGCTGTGGGTCTGGAGTCACATGTAGGCCAGACCAGGTAAGGATGGCAGTTTTGTTCCCTAAAGGACATTAGTGAACCAGATGGGTTTTTCCAAATATCGACAATGGATTCACTTTCATCATTAGATTGTTAATTCCAGATATTTATTGAATTTAAATTCCACCATCTACCATTGCGGGATTCGAGCCTGGGTCCCCAGAATGTTATCTAGGTCTCTGGATTAACAGTCCAGTGATAATACCACTAGGCCATCGCCTCCCCCTAATGCTATGCTGAGAAAAACTGAAATGTGGGGACCGGATGCATTACCCTGGGATGCAAGCTAGCCATGTCTGGTATCTTGGCCTTCTTTTCCAGTCCATAGGAAAGAAGACAGCCCTACTCCTCCTCACCCATCAAACCTCCAAACGTCATCAACTAATTTAACATGGGATGCCACAAAAATCCTCTCAAGTAGCAGCGTTAATCGTCTTCCACATTAGAGCTGAATAAATGATTTCATAAAATTCTTCAGCAGTGTTAAAGTGTTATCAATTATTAAAGATTTAACACTTGGGAGCTGTCATAAGCTCAAAAGCTTTAATTTACTTGCCTGAATGAACTACCAGGAAACGTCTAGTAGAATTGATTAGTAAAATGTTTTCTCTCAACAGTTTATCTTGTTTGATCCAGGAAACTATGCTATTATATCATTACCTTTTTATCTTTTAATCATAACAACTTCTGTCCTCATTTCTGAACTAACCAAATGAAAAATAGTTAATTTCAGTTACTGAGCCAATTCTTTCCTAACAGTGTAAATTGACCAGGCTTGAAGGAGTCTGCAGCTTGGATTTAAACATGGTGCCCATGATATAAATGCTGGAGGGTCCTGGCAACAGTGAGCACCTCC